ATGTTAGCTCAGGGCCGGTCTTCCTCAGCAAAAAAAAAAAGAGGAGGATTGGCATGGATGTTACCTCAGGGCTGATCTTCCTCACCAAAAAAAAAAAAAAAAAAAGTCAGACAAGATTAGCTGTCCCAAGGTCACATAATAAGATGGTAAAAGAAGAATTTCAGGCACCAAGGCTACAAAGCCCAATCTAAAAGTGGACTTTAACTGTCTGGGGCTTTATGACCTTAGTGATATAAAGGCAGTATCTATCCACTCCACAAACATTCACTGAATACCTTCCATCCGTCAGATGTGAGCCAGGCGCTGGAGAAACAATCTGATGGCGGATCAACTTCAACTAGAACTCAGATCCCTCAATGTGTGGCTTTGGTAAATGCTTATAGAATACACTCTAAATATCAATTCTATACACAGCATGTGTAATTAAATGAGTACATGCTTTGGAGTCAGAAAAATCTGATTTTGAATTCTAGTTTTCCCACTCATGAATTGTGTGAACACAGGTAAACACTTAAACCCTGTGGGCCTCACTTTCCTTATCTGTAAACTGCGGGTCACACTTTGCTTGAGATTAAAATAGTAACCGATAATACATGTAAAGTACCTAATATGGTAGGTTCTGAAGGAAATTTAGCTGCTGCTGCTGCTGCCATTACAACAACGATAATGATGGTGATGGTGATAGTGATGATGGTGATGATGATGATGATGATGGCAGCAACCACCAAAAGTCTCGTTCAAATATATCATCACATTTTTGGATGTTTAGTTTTAAATGGGGAATAATGAAAAGTTATGTGTGGTAAGTCTCCTATGTTCAAATTAGCACCTCTAAAGAAACACAAACCTGCCATTTCACATAAGAATATCTGCTAGACTCTTGAGTGTGAGCAAACTCCCTTCTTAGGAAGCATCAACTCAAAAGACTTACTGTGAGTTTTATGGCCTTCTCTGGGGCGACTCCCAATAACTGCGGCAACAGACCTAAAAAACAACAAAAAGTAGAAGTATAGTAAATAAATTAGCATTAACTAAACAAATCAACAGCTCTAAAGAGGGGATCACCATCTAAAAACCAGGGCAATCTTTGCTGCAATTTTCTGCTATAATCTTTAATGAGAAAACTCAAAATGGAATGTTTGAGTACTAATGTCTAACAGCCACATCAGGCCCAAGTAAATTCCCTCTCACATCCTGGATCGTTTGCACGTTGGGTAAATCAACAGTATTAGTGACAGAGGAAATCTCATTATTCCACAACAAGTTTGCACTTTCCCTCCTGTCTCTCAAATATGAAGTGGACTTCAGTGAATATATTATTTTTTTCTAATACTTTTCTCAGTCCCCCACCTCCAGTGTCCACAGTTTAGCCATTCATTCACTTGGCAACTATGACTTGGTGACAAGCACAAGACAAACAAGGTTCTTGCTCTGACCGGTCTCAGATGGAAGGAGGGGAGAGGCCTTCCTGAAGAAGTGACAATTGGGGAAAAACGCATTCCAGGAGAAGGAACAGATAGGGCAAAGACAGCCGAGTAGGAACAAGCCTAGCGTGCTCAAAAAGGAGGGAAAACATCAGTATGCCACCTCGCATGAAGCAGGCACAGGTGGGAGCCCGTTGCTGTAGTCACGTTGTAGGTCAGGATCCTGGGCTTGATATGCTGCAAGTCAGATGAGAAGGAATTGGAGGGTTTCGATCGGGAGGAGAGTGATGTGCTAACTCTCACTTCTAAAAGACCACTCCAGCTGCTGTGTGGAAAACAGACAGGACATACTGACATTGTGTGCGTGCGTGCGTGCGTGTGTGTCACGAGACGAGACTGAGAGACAAAGAAAAACTGGGTTTGACTTCTACTGCTGGATTTTTAGCATGAACACCCAGGTTTGGGGTGGAAAGCAAGGAGCTCTGTTTTGGACATGTTAGGTTGCACAGGAATTAAGAATCAGAGCACAAAGGCAGGTGTGGCCTTTGACAGGAAAGGGTCACTTCCAGCAAAGGCAGTTACAACGGCAGTGGACCTACATATCTGAACTAAAAAGTGGCATCGTTGTCATCTGTTCTTTCTAAGAAAATAAAATCAAAGACAGACGCCTTTTCTTGGAAACACGCAGTAAGCTAACCCCAAGAATCAGAATATATTGTTCCCTGCGTCATACTGCTGTCCTTGAGAGGGGCTTCACAGTGCAACTCCTTTGTCAGGAAGTACAACTTCCTAATTCGTCTATATAAAAAGGTCCATTTGCAGCTTCTTCCGAGAGAACAGCCCTGTCCATACCATCTTCCTAAAGGAGCAGCTTGCAAGCAAAAGTCACTAGCTTGAGGGATGTATGTCTTCAGCCTGCAGACGTGTTTTACTGAACAGCACAAGGTTTCAAACATAATTTGAACTTATTGTAAAGATAGATAGATAGATCGATAGATCAATGGATTGATCTGACAGCCTGGGCCTCCTTCTGACATTGCAGCAATCTGCTCCACTTGGATGAGGCTCTGCCCTTTAGACAGGACCTAAGCATCAATTCACCAAGGTCCCCACCATGCCCCAATGCCGACACGGCAATGAGGACAAGTGCCAGTTGCCGTTCATGATTTTTCTTGCTTTGTTGATATCCTCACAATAGAGAAACCTTTCTGTATGCTTGCGGCTCTACAAAAAGGAGGAAACTAAATAGACGAAGACAGTGTTATGTTTTAGGAAAAATGGGAGAAAGCTCATTTCATTGTGGAATTAAGTGATGAGTATGCTGAGGCTAACGAAAATTTTCTTAAAAAACCAGCTAACAGGGGCCGGCCCCGTAGCGTAGCGGTTAAGTGTGCGCGCTCCGCTGCTGGCAGCCTGGGTTTGGATCCCGGGTGCACACTGATGCACCGCTTGTCAGGCCATGCTGTGGCAGCGTTCCAGATAAAGTGGAGGAAGATGGGCACAGATGGTAGCCCAAGGCCAGTCTTCCTCAGCAAAAAGAGGAGGATTGGCATGGATGTTAGCTCAGGGCTGATCTTCCTCACCGAAAAAAAAAACAAAAAACTGCTAACACATGGTTTATTATGTGTCAGGCATTTTAAGCACCAATTTAAGCAGCTTACTAACTCATTTAACTCCCATAATCACCCCGGGGAGAGGAAACTGAGGCATACAGAGATTCAGTAATTTGTTCCAAGTTATCCTGCTGATAAATGGTGAGACTGGGATTCAAACCTAAGCTCTCTTACTCAAGAGTCTCTGCTTTTAGACAACACTCAACTCTGTCCTGTGCCTAATAGGCAAACATGTACCTGCCTCTCACCTCCAGCCTATTTGTTCACTTCCATAACCTGCCTGGATCCTATAAACATTTCAATTTGCAATGTCTTCTCTGGACAACCATATTTTGAGCCTGCTTCATCCCCTGAGCCACAGCTGACTGGACAAGGGGAAGGCAACTAAAAGACAGGCTGCCAATGAGTTCAGCAACCTGGGCCCTATGACCTGGTACCAGAAGTAGAGCTAGTCAGTCAGGATCCTTCTCCCAGGAGCATGACAGAGTCCTCGGAGGTGAGGAGCCAGTTAGCGCAGGGGCACAAGTGAGAAGACGCCATGCGGAGTGGGGAAAGTGGCCAGTTGAAGCCGTGTATGTGCTGTTGCCACGAGGAAGCAGAAACCGTGAATAAGAAAAGCAAGTGGGTTGTTGAGAGAAGAGCATGTGGAGCAAAAGGAATGGAGACACCAAAGAGGGAGAACATGCAGCGCATGAAAGGTGCGCAGGCAGGAGGGCTGGTCTTGACCATCATCTGGTCCCACGGAGGCCAGCGCCTGGTGAAACCCTGTCCTGGGATCCCTATGAGATCTTGGCCTTCTTTCTCTCTTGCATGAACTCTCACCAAAAGTTCGCCTGTGCCCTTGCTAGCTCGAGTAAGGCTATGTGCGCTTTATAATCTAAATGAACCGAAGCAGCACAGAAAACGTGACTATGGAACCATCTGGGCAAAGCAAGTGCTCTTATTCAAAGTAAGCACTCTCCTCCTAAACTACATTCACTTATTAATCTTTTACTTATACCACATAATATGAGATAATATGATATCTATAATATGAGAAGAAAGGCTTTATTATTACTTTATGAAAGTACATTAATTTCTACTAGTAAAATGCAGGGATAGGCTGTTTAAACTACATCTTAACATTCACAATTTCCATTTTACTCTCTGCATTCAGGTCAAGTACCAAAATGTTTAGTTAAATATTTACTTGCCAGATGCATTTTTCTCATCATTAAACTGTAGACCAAAACCATGCATGGGTTGAAAGCACTGTGATTTAAATGATCATCTCTTGTCTCTGTAACTACCCTGTGACGGTCTTTTTAAATGACTAATAAAAAACAGCCCACAGAGCCAAATGACTACAGTGTTAGATACAATCACTTCAGCCAGCGTTTTAAGCTATTGAGATTTGTCTTTTTCACTATAAATTTAGTAATGCACTGTGAACAGCAAAAAACAAAAGAGAAAACCCTGTATTTAAAACTAAATATAGGGCAGCAAATATTTAGTTGTTCAGCAAACATTTACCAAATCCCTTTCCGTGTGCCTGGTACTGGAAGGAACTGGGGATGAACAGTAAGATCTGTGCTATCCCTGGAGAAATTCTCAGCTTACCAGAAAAGAGAACCCTAGGTGTCTGTGTGTGCCAGAGGGGACAAACCACCTAAGAACAGAGCGGTGAGTGACACAGCCCAGGGGTGTCAAAGTACTGTGGGAACACAGTGGAGAGAGCTAGTTATTCTGCCTGCAGGAGGGAGAAAAGCAACAAAGAGGAGATGCTTGACCCGGATCTTTAAGAATAAGCAGAGGCTTCCTGGAGAGAAGAGACACGAGTAGAATGGAGGGCAAGGTGGTCCAGACAGAGGGAATAGTGCATGAAAAGGCACCAAAATCTCAAGATCATGGCACATTCAAGGTTGGGGCAAGATCACCAGAGGCTGGGATTAGATCGCAGACCTTGTAATAAATAACAGTAGTGTGATAATGACAACAGCCGATATTTGGGGGCACTTACCACACGCCAGGCACTATTCTATTGCTTTATGTGAATTAACACATTTAGTCCACACAAGTCAATAACAGTAACTCAGTGCATGTTACTTTTATCCCCATCAACAGATGAAGAAACTGAGGAAGACTTCAAGGAGCCTGCCCAAGGTTACTCAGTTGTTAGATGGAGACGTGGGGTTCAACCCAAGCGGTCTGGCTCACGGGGTGCTCCCACCTGATGCACTGCACTGCTTCTCTCCCAGGCCGCACTAAGGAGCTTGGAGCAAATACCGTAGATGCATGGGGTGGCTTTGAAAGTAAAGAGTAAAGTTCATAAAGTAAAAAGTTCTAGAGGCAGGTGAAGGACAGATGGTATGAACAGAGACCCAAGGGAGGGAGAGTAATTAGGAGGTTAAAGTAAAGGGTAGAAGGCCCTGAGTTTCACTCTATTACATGAATAACTTCAACTCAATAAGAATAAAACCAAAGTACAAATCCATTCCTAAGACCTGGGCCAGATGTTGGCCCTCAGGGAGGTCCTGGATAAGTACCATTCTTGTGATGACTACCCTCCTAAATAGAGAAACATAGATGGCTGTGGATTAAGATTTGAGTGCCACTACAGATGTGGGCCTGGACACCATTAGCCCTGGGAGGGGTCATGCTCTGTGGGACAATGAAAAGTCACAGAGGCGGGAATTTCAATCACCCTCCTGGTTCCTTGACTTCAGAGGGAGGAGGGGTAACGTGGCTCAGTAATGCCTAAAACAGCCAGCCTCGTTAAGGCACTTCAACGCGATCACACTGAAGTTTAAAGGACACGTGTGTTTGACATCTGGGTAACTCAGCAGAAAAATTAGGCTTCTAATACAAGATGTTTCTGTTGGATTCTGGCAATTCATTGTACCATTAGAAACAGAGAATGGATGTGTGTGTTGTTTCTAACTTGTCAAAACAGCAGTCTATTTTCCAA